ATGGAGTATGCAGAAAGCATTCCCCTTCGAAAAAAAAAAAGGGGAAATTTAGATATAGAAAGTTACAATGATTAGCATATGGTGGGGGTGGTGAATGAACCCATGAACGTTCCTTTTTTTTCAAAGAAATGTTAAATATAGTCATAGATTTAGTGATTATCGGACACATTGAGTATCGTTGAGAGCACTCGCTTTCACTTCTTGTTTTTCTACATCACAATTTTTTGTATCAGGATCCCTAAGGAATTCCCAAGAAGGGAAGTGTTGGACAGGATAACTTTATTAATTATACTAATGTTATTAAGAAAAATAAAAAAATTACCACGGCTAAAAGCAGGTACTCCAAACTGGAAGATAGAAAAAAAAAGTTAATACGCAAAAAAATCTTTTGTCAATAACAAAAGAATGATAAGTGTAGTCTATGGCCATACTGTTTACTTGTGTCATTGTGTCATGCCAGCAAGTCAGTCGTGTCCGAGCCACCGACAGGAGCAGACGTCCCAAGCATACAGTACATATGGCGACGAGGGAAAAAGTAAAAATGAATTTGAAAAAGAAAAGAACGAAGTTCTGGTGTAACAAGCTTGTGGTTTACGACGAAAGGTATTTATAAAACGAATCATTATGATTAGTGGACATATACACTTGTTATTACAGAGTGTCTAAACTCCATAATATTGGCAGCTGCGAGTCATAATAACATCCAATTAATATGAAATAAGCAAATGAATTTCAACCAAAGGGTATCTTATAATAGTAAAGTGTTCGAATAAGCTGCGAGTTTTGCTTGTAAAAGATCTTTCAAATGAATTAAGTTAATAAATTTGTTGAGAGTTTTAGACATATTATCACGTTGCGGGACGCATTAAAACATTAAGTGTAAAATACTAATGTATGGTTCACAGCACAGCTTATGAAGGTGTATACGCATATAAGGGCACTGTGTAAAAATGGAAATTTTTATTTTATAGCTACGAATATTCAAGAGTTTAATACGGTTGCTAATGTTTTACATTTTCATGCATGAACAAGTACACATTATGATTAGAAGAGACAAATTTAAGTATGAAAGTACAATCTAATGTGCTAGAAGCTAATGTTCTAGTTCATGGGCATGAAAGGAAAGACCTTTTGCTTATTTAAGTTACTAGTATTGGAATAACTCTTTATTTCAGTTATCAATATAACATGTGTGGGTAGGTGTCTAACCACTCACATATTAGCAGTTTATGACATTCAAATAATGCTCATAAAGTGTAGTGAAGTTAAACACATTTAATAAATCTGGTATTATAGCTAAAACCGGATGAAAATGTATTTTGATATTTAAATGGTTATAAAGTAAAAAGTAAACATTTGACAAGTGCAGTGTTATGGCTTAAACAAACATAATTAACCATAACCACTGATAATTTAATGTGGTATTTAAAGGAGGTCCAGGTTAAGGTTAAAAAACTATTTTTGTAAAAAAAAAAACTTCACTAATCGGAACAAATTTAGAGTTTTAATATGAGTCACTGACTGCCATTAAAATGGATAGGAATAAGGATTTAAAAACCACTCATTAAATTGCGGAAACACAAGTACAGGGGTTGAAAACCCACTTATTAAATTGAGAAAACGTAAGTACAGGGGTTGAAAAACCACTCATTAAATTGAGATAAGACAAGTACAGGGGTTATAAAATCACTCATTAAATTGAGGAAACAGAAGTCGTGTGCTATTGGGATTGTGAGACAAAGAAAAAGTTGGAAAACATATAAATGTATTACATTTGAGAGAAAATTTCCATGAACTTATCAAGTCATGGCTTGTTGAGTGAAAAATCTCCATGGAATTGGGGAACTCAGTATGGTACAAAGGTACAGTCCTTTTGATTGGAAGTTGCACAAAAACTGGAGTGGAAACAAAATAATATAAAATTAGACAATTTATGGTAATTATATAATAAAGAAACCACAAATACCGCAGCAGATACCGATTTGCTAATCTGTGGTATAGGTACGACAAACAAGGTTACAAAATATTGAATAGAAGCACTAACAAATGAAGTAAAATTATAAATCAACTACAAGAAACATTAAGAAGCAAATATTACATAGAGAAGCCAATCATAGCTAGCGATTATCATGCTGCGATGTTTAGATTCACTAAAAATCGAGGATTAATAAACTTTTTAATAAAAAAACAAAACCGACTTCTAAACAAAATATTCTCAAAAAAACAGTACACTAAAAAGTAACGAAATAATTCCTTGAAAATAGTAAACCTACCTTATTGTAACTGTTATGTCTATATTGTACAATTTTTATTACTTTGAAGTCGGTGTCAGTCAATGTAGTTTCATTACTTAATTGTTACTATACTTTCAATTGTCAATTCTTATGGTAAAAATGTGGAATCACTGCATACCTTGGCTGACACCGACATCAAAGTAATAATAATTGTGCAATATAGATATGACAGTTACAATAAGATAGGTTAACAATTTTCAAGGAATTATTTCGTTATTTTTTAGTGTACTGTTTTTTTTTTTTGAGATTTTTTTGTTTTTAGTGTATTTTGTTTGGAAGTCGGTTTTGTTTTTTTAGCTAATCTAATCATTTCCCTCCCCTTTTCGCCCTTCTCTAATACATATAACATAGAGCCGAGAAAGGGAAGAGTATTAGATTCAAATAATGCGATCACTAAATATCAACATTTCACGCGGTGACAGGAAAAAAGTTTATCACTGAATACAAACATGACCAGATCCTTCCTTGTTTGAAGTATTTTTAGATTACTTAACGAATGTTAGTAGATTAACTTACCGCGCGTACTGTAATGTGGATAAAAAAGGTGTCAATATATTGCGTAAGCGAATCAATAGGCGGCATTCTGCGCTCACGCAAATATGCTTCAACAAAATCTGTGGAGCATACTAGTGACACAACCTGAAAATTGAATTATAGTCAACATTCAAAACAAAGTATTCTGGTCTGGTGAAGGAGTCGCTGCTTTAAAACGTTGTAAAACTCATATGGGCAAAGAAAATACAATATGACAGCTACAGTAGGAATGTTTTATAACACTTTTATATTGACCAGAAAGCGTTAGTAAGCTATCACAATTTTAAGACCGCGAAAGGTTCTTGGCTCGAATATATGATTATAGAATTAATATAAAAAGTTCCTACGTCAGATAATTCACATTTCTTACTTTTCTCTTCTCTACTTTAGTAACAATTGCCTTGCAATGAAATATAGATTGCAATCTTTTATATCTAGAGTTCGAATGATTTATCCTGCACTCCAAACTGTTAATACCATGGAATTATACATATTGGGATGATGCTCGTATAAACTTGGAATCTTGTCATACATGGAACTGTTTCCATAACAAGAGATTCTAGGAAGTAAAGATCATCTTACTACGATTTCGCTACGATTTTCTAAATAGAAGAATGAAAGTATCGCCGAGTTATAAATGATTTGCGAATCTCGTATAAATCTTAATAAAATCCATAATGTGCGGAAAACTCTCTCCGAGCAAATAAGTCTTACGAAGATTACGAAAATACCGACTTGTATAAGAACGATCTCGTATGACTTTTTTTACTATTTCTAACCTAACCCAACCCAAAAATAAAATTATAAGTGGCAGAAGTATACTCACGTTTACAACGATGGCTAAGTAAACCATAAGTTTCAAAATTTCAGACCATACATTAAAAGCTCTATTTCTCAAAAGCAATGGTCTTTGATAGTGAAGTGTAAATAATGTTGCGTCACGCCTGAAACAGTAAAAATTGGTTGGCCCATCCATCAGCATTTTGTTTTTTTATAGTATAAGGTGACAAAAGTTCAAGCGGCCACCGTGGTAGTTATCGTGGTATTGCACTGGACGATCCGGCTAATTCATGCGAAAACATTAACGCTGGATGGCACCTAGTGTACGACACTCACGTTATTTTGGCAATCCCAAAAATCAAATTATAAGGACTGATGAAAATGCGGGGGTCAAAGCACTAACACTCAAGAAATGGACGAGCGAGACAATAGTGGTAGCGGTTTGTTGCAGTTTTTGGCAGAGAGACACAGTAATATTCAGATATGTTACAACAATGTATGTGTGTTCACATGTTTGTGATAATTTTTAATAAAGGTAGTGTTTAATTGGTGTTCGTTATCAACCAACATTTGTTAGGCTTTTAACATAGTTTTACGGCCGGTCTCAATAACGCATCCGGGATCGGGAGATCGCTTCAATCGAGAAATAAAACGACCTGCTGGTTGATCACTAACCGGTGTCTCAATAACACCGGATAACAAACGTCGACCGATTTTCAAAATGGATCAGGGGGTCCATGTACACTTTGTGAGGTTCCCTCCTGGCGTTCCATTTCAAGCAGATGTCATTATGACGGTGTTGTAAACCTATTGATGAATTTAAGAAAATATGCACATTTTTGGGTTTCGACGTACTAACTAATTATTTATTTGTTCCGTACTTTACGAATAAAACGTGTTTCAACATTTTCCAAGTAAATTGTCATCAACCAATTCTCCCTTTTCGGAGTTTTGGTAGCGGTACGAGATCGTAATCAGAGGAATAAATTGTCTGTCGATGTCATTTGACATCAGTTGTCAATGTTATTTACATCAGCTATTAATTTGAAATTTATATAGCTTCTATTCGTGTTTTTTGATAAACAACTAAATATTCACCATCGAAAGTGTAAGTGCAATGGTATGTGTACTTTTATTGAGTTTTTAACATGTTTTTACTTTCTGTACTTTTATTCAAAAAACTTCCCCCGTGAAGACGCTTCAATTCGCGCCTAATTTGTATAATAACCCCTTTACATAGTAATTTCTTATTATTTCCAGAACTCAAGCAAGCCTCTTACGCAGGAGGACACGAAAACACTGCTTTCGTTCATTGAAAGCAGTAAAATTAAATTGACTTGATGATTGACTAATGCTACCACGAATAAATTGAAAAATGAAGAGTGGAGACGGATAAGCGAAAAATTCAATGTTTGTTGTTGTTTGTTTACTTTATTGTACTACTATTTTTGTAATAAATATAAAAACTGTATTCTTGTAATAAATATAAAAGCTTGATTTTCGCAAAGTTTTTTATTTGAAATACTACCATCGCCCTGAATGCATTTCTTCTTCGTCCCAGTCTGAAAGTTGCTCTAACACTTCCAAATCACTTTCACTATCAGCTATCACTATACGGCGACAAGCCAACCATTTTTTAATCTCATAATAAATTAGTAGAATCTTCAGATTTTCATAGATTGTAAAATAAAGATTGAGAGATTTGTCAAAATTCCAAAAACATTTATTGAAACACTACAACTGTCACTTTCAAACAGAGGGCGATCCGAAAAGTGCTAGAAATCAGATTTTTCCCTCAGATTAGTCATGTTTTTAGATCGAATTTCTATCGTTCGGTCGTTTATTGAGACAGTATTTCAAAAGATTAGGGTACGGATTGGGATTTTCGATTGATAAAATTGCATATTGAGACCGGCCGTAAAAATGCAATTAATTACTCTGACGACTCTCTATCCCCTAGTACCACACACAATCATCCGCTGAAGGACAGTGATGTTATTTTTTTATGTGTGTTACGGCATAACTCCGCCCCTGGTGGACCAATTTTCTATCCGAAAGGTAGTGCTTGCAGATGAGTCCCATTTTTTTGAATTTTTGGAGTCAAAGACTACGGCGTAGTTTAAATAGTTTCGCTCAAAATCGCGTAACTAAAATTTGTTTTTTTTTTAGCTTTCTTTGCTTACTTAGCCTAAACTATGAGGCTTACACAATAATGATGTATAGCAGAATTGTAGCTCTTTATATTTTCTAAAGTTTGCGAAAGGATATATCTGTATGTTAAGGATGTCGCACAATAACCACTTTTTCCATTAAAAACATCGATTGAAATGTACCATATACCCCACTTACAACGCTATTGTTCGTGTTCGGTATGAATCCTTATCTAAATAAATATGTTTTAGAGTTAGAGTACTAAATATAGATTATAATTGCCTTCAACAGTATGTAATTCTGATCAATATTCTAGAAGATATCAAAATAATAAACTCCACTGGCCACAGTGGCGCGCGGCAATTATGTATTAGTTCTTAGCTAAGCGATTTATATTTTGAAAGCTAGTGATTATCATATTGCGATGTTTAGATTCACTAAAAATCGAAAAACATGTAAAAAAAAAATAATAAAAAAATCAAACCGACTTCCAAACAAAATACATTAAAAACAAAATATTCTCAAAAAAACAATTCACTAAAGAGTAACGAAGTAATTCCTTAAATTACTTAAACCTCCCCTATTGTAGCTGTCATATCTATGTTGTACAATTATTATTACACTGAAGTCGGTGTCTGTCAAGGTAGATTCATTACTTTAACTATAGTCACTATAGGTTCAATTCTCAATTGTTATGGTTATAATGTAGATAGCCTTACGTAGGCTAAGGCTCATGAAGCTTGATGCAAGATGACCACAATCATTATATATAATATTTTATAACTGTCCGGTGCTAGGTGTTTTAAGTGATGTCCATCCTGTGCTAGGTGCCACTTTCAGTGACTGCGTTTATTCTTACCAAGGTTTAGTTTGTGTTTTCGAATATGTTTATGCAGGAGATCCGTTAATGGTTGCTTGTTTTGGTTTTATAGTATGTTAAGTTAACTATGTTATCAATTAAATTAAGCTGATCAGAATAGTTTTTAAAATTTACATAAAAACGTTAAATGTCTACCACTGGTGGACTTCCCCCTACCACTATCATGGTATAACCCGCTACGCTTGTTTCCGGCGTACCATTGACATAAAATTAAATAGATATTGTCCTCTTTTTAGAGATTGTCTTGAACAGACGTAGAGTTGTGCCCGAACAGACATAAAATTTATAACTCTATATGTTTTGTTTTCGGTATTATGCATTTTACTCTTTAGGTTTTTATCGCCATTTGCTACATTTGTTATTCTTCTCGAATTAATCAAATTTCAAATAACTTTTCGGTTTTCTACCACAGTCGGTTAGTAAACCTTTCGCCAGTAGATCCTAATATTCATCTGTTACAAAATAATAGAAACGGAAGTAGTAGTGGGGGGTAGTTCCATAAAAGTATTTGCAAGGAGTGAAGCGCCTTTAGTCAGTTGCACTCAGTCGCTAACAAGCTCTCTAGCCGTCAGTTGCTTCAGTCGCTCAGGAGCTCAGTAGCTCAGTACATTTCTAGTCATCGCCACGGAACGATCGATATCTTTTACGTAGTTGCCTTAGTGTATTCGTTTTATAAAAATTCACCAGTATTGCTCATATTACCGCTCGACTGCCATATTTTTTAAAAAGTCATTCATATCGAAATTTATAACACATCATACTCCATGCTTTTATACTGACAAATGCATAATAAGCTTACTTGTAAATCCAGTAACTTCAGTAAATAAATTTAAATATTACCAACCTGATGTGGTAGATGTTGAACAGCAATACAATTAATATGGCGGGTGGACATGAAAAGCCAAAGGCAATTATCAAGGTGAACTGCGTTACTGAAATACAATCAAAAGGTTTACACGAGTACAATTATATACAAGGTTATCAGTAATTCGACGTATTCCCGCTAAGAAGTGATAGAGGGAATCATTTGTGATAATATCTCACCATATGCTTCATGCAAAAGGTAATCTTTTTTGGAGTTATCATGATTTTAAGACTTTTTCAAAACAAGTCATAAACGCAACGTCAAAAATTATCAATTACAACTTAATAGTTTCTTCTGATTTATAAAAACGATTAAACAGTGATTATCTAATAATATTGAAATATCAATAATCTGTCCAAATTTAAAAATGTGAGCAAAACAACCATTTCGATTCAAAATTTTTTCAGAGTCTCCTCCACTGAAATGCCTTAAAAATAATAAAATGGTTATGGAACTTGGCTGGCAAAAAATAACTTCGTTTCATTATTAGGAGGAGGAGGAGGAAATCGTGGTAAGGAGATCCAAAAGACAAGTAGAATTTATTGGACACTACAAAAGTATATTGTAATTATTATTATTATATTTCCAATGCATGATTGTTACAGTGTTAATTTACCAAGAGTTGCCATTTTGCTTGCTAAAACATTTTCATTCAATCTAGGTAAATCGATTTCTCTCTCCCAGCATGGAACGTTTTCTACTATTTCACGTTGATTATAATCAGTCACACTGAAAAGTAATGCAGCATGAGTTCTATTAATTTTTGGATGTAATTCACATAACAAGTGAGAAAAATATTTACATTTAATAACAAACCTTGAGTAAAGTGATAATTTTCTTAATATGGCAAATCTTAGAAGCAAGATCATTGTAAATGAAATGGTAAGAAGGTTGCTGCAGGACGTCAACGCACACGTATTATCCAATAGCTCCTGATCATTTTGATTGTAGCCGCGCCTCAGTAGAAATTCAAAAACTGCCTATGAAATTCAAAGTACGTATTACATGGGGCAGCCCTTGTTCTAGAGCACATAGTCACACATCCGGTAACAAAAAATACGAGTGTGTAACCGAATGTGGAAGACTAGAAATTGTATTGGAGGAAGTCTCCTAGTGCCGGACACTTGAAGTTTTTAGGTAAAAATAAAAAAACTATGCTGAAAAAACTTATCTTTGTCATTATACTGAATTGGTTAACTTAACAAATTATCAAATAAAAATATAAAACATAAGTTTTGATGAAGCAACCCTATACCATTATGTAAAGAACATTAATATCTTCATTTTGAGTATAATTTCACGAGGAAATTCGATAAGGGTAATTAGCCTCTATTTTGTCATCATTTAATAGGTAGCAACCTCCACTCTTTCCAGTAAGAAGATAGGCAACCCCACCTTAGTGTAATATTTACGTTACGTACTATCGATTGGTGACAAAATTTCCAAGAAACTCGATTAGGGGTTTATCCTCCAAAAATTGTCCACTTCAGAGATCAATTAAACATAGCCTTGCCAGGCTAGGATTAGGCAACCCGGTTACAACATGTTTAATAAAATGTGCTCTTTCATATGATGTAGGTTTTATCAGGAAAGCTGATGAGGGAAGGATAAACGCTTTGGATCTTAGCCTAGTAGTAGGTCGGAAAGAGTCTCACAACACGTCAGACGATTCTCTGACGACGAGAAAAATTTGATCATTCTAGGTCCATTACTTTAATTTACAATTCCGATAAAAGCAAAATCGATATTCTCGATATACAGAGTGATTCTTAACGGACGGATCAACGGTTTTGTGGAGATCAAAATTGCATTGTAATGTGTAAATAAACAAAAATCAACGGTTTAATATTTTTTACTTATGTAACATGTTTTTTTATTCTTTAGTTCTCGTGTGAGTTATTCAAAAAAAGGGATAACGGTACGAAAGCCTAATTATTAGGCTTGTTAAAGAAAGAAAATGACTACTGTAAACACATTACTTTGTACGTACGGTCAAATTTATAAGTCGGAAATCTGGTTTTTCCGTTTTTTTTACAAAAAAAAAAATAACTTCAAAACTATAGAAAATCGGGCAACATACTATAAATGATAGCTATTGAGGTTCTCTACCTCCACAAAACCGTTGATCCGTCCGTTAGGAATCATCCTGTATAATTTTTGTTACTAGTTGGCTCTTTAGCTAGCGATACACACAAGTCAGTAAGAATCTAATTAGATCATAGAGCAAATGATACTTATCATCATAGGTATGATGGTAGGTATGATTTCCTGTGACATCCCACAGGAGATCATAAGCCCCCTCAAATCACTAAATTATTTTAAATCAATCAAAAACATATTTACCATTTGAAATCCATAGTATCCAAGCATTATCATAGGCAGAGAGAAACACATAACATAGAGGTGTATTGCAAGGGACCGGCTATACGATATGTAGGTCTTATGATTCTCCATTCGAACAATATAACTCGCAACCTTTCTATGAATCTGTAAAATAAAAAGGTAATTATAAGCTTGTGAGACTGACGTGGATTTAATCTTAGGTAACTAGTTACGAAAATGGAAAAGGAACCTAGAAATAGCGCTCCTGTCTCTTACTGAGATGCAACAAAGAAAACTCATACCTCTCGCCCTACTTTTGTCTTATTGGTATTTGACAGGCCTAACCAGGTATTATTGCTAGAAGCTCTGTCACATGTATATATCCAAATCTATACTAATATTATAAAGAGGAAAGATTTGTATTTTTGTGTGTATTTGATTCATGTAAAAACTACTTGGCCAATTTTAATAACTCTTTCACCGTTAGAAAGGTAATTTATCTGTAACATTTTTTGTAAAGCTGCAACAATTTGATAAAGCTATTGCCCACGACTTCGTCCGCGTGGTGTTTAAAAGTTCAAAACTTATGTTCGCCCCTTTTTTCTACCTATTACTTAAAGTGTTATATTAGTATTATTGAAATCTACGAAATTAGAGAAATCTACTGATGCCAGATCCTTATTGTTTGTGTTCGCGATATCTTATAAACTATTTGTCCAATTTAAATACTGTAAAGGACAATTTTATTCTACATTAAATTCTCCTGATAACAAATGCATTTATATGGATAAGGATTAATATTGAAACCAATAAAACATCGACGCAAATAGCATGCGTGGAGCGTCGGTGGCTCAGTGGTTTAAACACTTGACTTGTAATCTACAGGTCTTGGGTTCGAATCCCGCCGCAATGTACCAATGTGATTTTCGAATTTTCGATTTTCATATGTACATAATTTACCCGACGTTCTTACGGTGAAGGAAAAACATCGTGATGCAACCTGCACATATCTGCGAAGAAATTCAAAGATATGTGTGAAGTCAACCAACCCGCACTTGGCCAGCGTGGTTGACTATGGCCTAGTCACCCTAACTTTAGGGTAGGCTCCGAGCCCCTCGGTGGGGACGTATAGTGAGCTGATGATGATGATGATGATGAAATAGCATGCGATTTTTAAATCATTTTGTTAACAAAAATGTAGTTAATGTAAGAAAACTGTTAAAGATAGATCTATTGCGGACTTTTCTGTCGTTTAAGCAGCGTAAGCCGAGAAAAGTTAAAATTTTGTGATTTTTTAACGCCGGGGTTCAGAAATAGTAATAATAAAATATAGCCTATGTTACTCACAGATAAATTACTTTTCCAATGGTGAAAGAATTTTTTAAATCGGCCCAGTAGTTTTTACGTGAATCAAATACATACAAACATACAAAGTTTTCCTCTTCATAATATTATTATAGACTAGTAATATTAACTTTTTTTGGCTTACGCTGCCTAAATTATCAGATGTATATAAAAATGAAGTACTGAGGAATTGTGGATCTCAAAAAGACCTACAGAAAAATCCTCGATAGTATATATCTGTTTTTAACGGTTTTCTTACAACAAACACTAATTTGTTTACAAAATGAACTAAAACCGCGTGCTATTTGCGTCGTTGTTTTATTGGTTTCAATATCAATCCTTATACAAATAAATGCATTTGTTGTCAGGAGAATTTAATGTAGAATAAAATTGTCCTTTACAGTATTTAAATTGGACTAATAGTTTAGAAGATATCTGGAACACAAACAATCTGGGTAACCGAAAAATGTGCGCACAAACTACCGGGCTTAGATTTTTTTTTAGATTAATAATAATTATATAGAACTTACGAGATCAATGATGTAGAAAGCTATGACGAAACCAATCACGAGATAAATGGTTAACAAAAGAAATTCGTCTGGATACATATGAACCATCGTTATTCGATGTGAAAAGACAGCAAAAACTAATACATCCAATAAAATCTGTTGAAAAAAAATAAAACCTTTACTGCTGAAAATTGTACATTTTAAAACCAATGCCTGATATATAAAATCGGGCCTTCCAGTGAGCGTTGATTGCGTTAGCGAGCCCACTTCGATCGTCAACCTCTTTAAAAATAAGTTTTTAGTTAAACCTCCATTGCAAGCAATCAATAATTTAACAGTGGCACAAACTGCCCGTCAACACCTAATATTTACTGCAAAAGAAGTGGCTGAACTAATTAGAAAGCTGAAACGCGGAAAGTCTCCTGGGGATGACTTAGTGAGTATTGAACATCTCCAGATGGCTAGTACTCATCTGCCTAGGGTACTTTCTACGCTTTTAAACTTTTGTATAGCCCACACGTACTTGCGTGACGAGATGATGAGGACAGTATTGGTGCCAATAGTGAAAGACAGATCCGGTGACGCTTCTGATTTAAATAACTTAGGCCCATATCGTTGGCCACTGTAGTATCGAAAGTGAATGACAGTATGCTTGGCACACAGCACAATAAACTTCTTACGCTTAATGATGACCAGTTCGGATTTCGATCGGGCCTATCCACAGAAACAGCGATCCTCTGTATCAAGCATATTGTCAGATATTATACAGATAGAAAAAACACCAGTGTATGCGTGCTTCCTCGACCTGTCCAAGGCGTTCGACTTGGTTTCTTATAGGATTTTGTGGAAGAAGCTGTATGAGGACACAAAGATGCACAGCGATATAATCAAGGAGTTCAAATCTTGGTATACTCAGCAGAACAACATGGTATGATGGGCAGGCTCTCTATCCTAACCGTACAGATTGGAGTGTGGGGTGAGAGAGGGAGGGCTGTGATCACCGAAGCTCTTCAGTTTGTATGTGTATCGGCTGGTCGGTGCGTTTAGCGGCACCATGGTCGGGTGCTCGGTCGGTGGGACCTTCATGAATAAATTAATTATTCAGATGACATGATGCTGCCGGCCTCATCTATCAACGCCCTCAGAAAGCTACATAATATATGCGAGAATTTTGCAATGGCTCATGGTCTTCAATACAATGCAACTAAAAGAGAATTTTGGTATTTCTGGCTGGTAACAAATGTTACTCAAACGTTCCGACGGTTACCCAAAGTGGCACTACCATACATTTGCTCACAAAATATAAGTATTTGGGTCACTGGCTAACTGCGACCCAAACGGATGATAACGACATCGAAAAGGAACGTAGGGCGCTGCCCGTAATTAGCAACATGCAAATTAGAAGAATCGCAGCATGTTCAAAAAGAATAAAGCTTACCTTGTTTACGGCATATTGCCAATAATTTTATACCTGCAGTTTATGGTGTAAGTCTACCCAGCGCCCTACTTGTGCAATATAACAACGCCTTCAGGGCACTGTTGGGGCTGCCGCGCTACTGCAGCGCGTCGGGGATATTTGCGGTGGCGCGGGTGGACGACTTTGCCGCAATCCGGCGCAAGCGCATCCTTGATGGCGCTGGTGCAAGGCAGCCGCAACACTACCTTGAAAGTATTGGGGAGCCGCATGGACAACCTCGTCTATAAGCACTGGGCAAACGTCCATGTGCTCTAATTAAATTATAATTATGATTAATATACTAATTTGGTTTAAGTAAAATGTACATACTATAAAATTAAAGGATCTCTAAATGAAATCGAACATATAAATAAAATGAAATAAAATAAATTGCATAATTGATTTTTTATACAGGGTTATTGGTAATTAGACGTATTCCCCTATATGCATTATCCAAAAGTCAACTGTTTTCGAATAATTTTGATTTTTCGATTTTTTTTCAAAATAAGTCCAAATTGTAACTTCAAAAATTTTTTTTAAAAATACTGTCAATGATAACTTATATTTTTCTTCGGACTTTTGAAAACCATTAAACACTGATCATTTTACAAACTAAAACTTCATTATCTGTCCAAATTAAAAAATGCGAGTTAAAAAACCATTTTACTTCAATATTTTTCGAGATTCTCAACCACTAAATGCCTTAAAAACAAGAAAAATCGTTATGGAACTTGATCTGCAGATTATTTTAAAAACAGTTTTCTTAGCTATCCTAAAATGCATAATATCTAGGAGCTTGTTCCAATTGCACTGAAATAAACAAATCTTTCAAAGGAATATTATTATATATTATACGTTTTGACACACTTATAGTTTATTAAGTTGTTTAACACATTCAATGCCAACTACACGGCGCCGTGGATATGTATACGGCCGAGTACACGGCGCCGTGGAGGGTTAGGAGGCCGGACACACGGCGCCTTATATTGCGATTTCGTTTTTTCTATGCATCAGTACAGCTCCAGCCGTTGCGATAACTGTACGTGACGCACATGGCATACAGGGATACCTCATATAATGCAATCGGCATTAAATGTGTTACTCATGATTGACACGCATTTTTCTCATAGAGAGAGACGTCAGACAAGGGGATATTATAGATGAACATTTCCTTATTACCCAAAAAATATGAAAGATATTTTTTTTGTACATTAAGCGAGGTTAAAATGGCAGTGCGAGATATGAAAAATGGAAAAGCGGTGGGGCCTGATGGCATACCCGTCAAAGTATGGAAAGTTTTGGAAGAAGATGGTATAAAGTGGCTGATTTTATTCTTCGATAAGTTGTTGCAAGAAGAGTCGATCGCTGATGAATGTGTATCAGTACGATGACGAAGACGATGTCCAGAATTGCAACAACTATCGTGGAATAAAACTCATGTCACATACTATGAAAATTTGGGAGAAGTTGATAGACAGACGGATAAGGGAAGAGAGTGAGGTATCACAGAACCAATTCGGGTTTATGCCAGGTCGAGGAACAACAGATGCCATATTCGCGTTGCGCCAGCTATGTTAAAAGTATAGACATGTCCATAAGAACTTGCATATGGTGTAACGTTGATCTCAAAAAGGCGTACGACCGAGTCCCCCGTAAGGTTCTGTGGTAGGTGAAGAAAGAAAGGAAGAAAGACAAGTGCCTGGAAAGTACGCGCGATTTGTGAGTTCTATGTATGAAAGAGCGAACACTCACGTCAGGTCCGAAGCCGGCGTAACCGACAAGTTCAGTGTGGCTGTGTGCCTGCACCAGGGATCGGCTTTAAGCCCTTATCTATTCCTCCTGGTTATCGACGCATCAACATCGGCGATCCAGGAGGAAGTACCCTGGTGTATGCTGTTCGCCGACGACATTGTTCTTGTTGGGAAACATGCGCTTGAGGTCCACAGTAGACCAATAGTAGTCAGTATAACAGTAGAATAATTAATTCTTATACTTAGCAAGTCTATGCAAGGCTCGGCGGCAAAGTGGTTTTCTCAAATAGCTTTTGCTAATGTGAATAAAGAGCACTTTTTTATTTAAAAAAAAAGAGACTGTATGCGAGAAATAATAATTTGAATGAAGGGAACAAACATTACTTGCTAATTTTGTTTTGATAGTGAATTACGATTCCCGTGTTTAATGTTATTATTGTTTCAGCAAATACTGAAGATGACGACAAAATTTGATAGTGTGTTGACAACAAAAATCAAGTTAACCTATCTGGAGATATAAAATCGTGTAAAAGTGGATAATGACGATTAGCAGCACAGAGCCTATGGCCGCACTCATGGTAACCGCAAGTGAGGAGAATTATTGCCGGTGAGTCGTTTTCATGTTAGAGTAGATGCTCAACTTTCTAAAGAAAATAGAGTAAGGCTTAGTATGAAAAGCGCAACCTGTACATAGGGATGTTTATACGCTTGGGGTCGAAGACACAAACACACACACACACGTAACGTGCGATTATTATACCTAGTCCGAATTAGTAACTGTTCCAAAGGAGTAATCATCTCAATGGCTTGTATGTTCGACGTGTGGTGTGAACGTAGTAATCTCTTTTCGTTTAACTTTGCAGATGGACTTCGAAGAAAGACTAGTACGAGCATAACGCGAGAACGTGCTAATTCCGATATGGCTGAGACGTACTTGTTGGTTGAT